TTGACATGGTACGAGACAACTGTTTCATTTCCGGAGATGGAAGACGAGCAAGAAGTTGTTTTTGGATACGTCGCGATAATCCAGGTGTTAGATAAGAGAGTGCCAAAGCATCTTCTTTCGAAAATTTAAACTTTTTTAAGTCTAAGTCTAATAAATTAAGGTTTGTTGTCTTGTTCTTATCTGAAAAAACGAACATTGAAAATTAACCATTTACTTACAATAATATTTTACAATTAATTTATCAAGTGCAATGTTAGAAAAGCATTCAGATACTCACCTACACTAAGTTAATGTTTATTAGATTTCCAGCTGCTGACAGAAAAAATTTTTTTTCATTAGTTATCAATTTTATCTACACCCACGCATTTACAGATTTAAAAAATCAATTGTAACAACGTTAAATTAAAGTTACAATGCACTGATCTTATTCGGCTTTCCTTTTGTAACTTTTAAAATGCAAACACAAAGTCTAAAGTAAACCAAATTATACTAAAAATCCTAACGTTTGAACAACTCGATACTTTTTATTTTATTCAGGTATATACTGACAGACCTTTCTTGTCATGACTCATGACGCACAAGTATTAGATGGTTAGTTAAAATTTTTAAAATTTAATATAATTTTGATTAAGCATTTCCTTCTTTTCACCTGCATATTGCAGTAAACATTTAATTGCTCTTTTATACTATATGAAAATTAAGAAAGTTGCACAATAATTATCGTATGACACTTTACCGTGCAATTTCACTTCTATCGTACAGTATACTTTTATATGTTGTTCATAAAGGCATAAAAAACAACCAGACTCAAATGTCTTTTTCTTTTCTTACTTTTAGTATTGAACAAGTATTGTGTAAATTGTGCAACTAACTCTTTTTATGTATTTACTATTATTATCACTACACATGCAGCCTACCGAGTCTGTGTTGTAGCAGGCAGCCAGGCGGTTAGTGGGTGCCCTTCTGGCTGGACGGTCCGCAGGGCACATGCACTGTAACGCGCACTCTTGCTGCAAACACACGACGCTATCACAGCCATGCTCTACAACGCCTGGCATATCCTGATGTATTATTTTATTATTGCAATAGTTATTGTTTATTTTATCCTTGGTTGTTTTTTATACCTCTCTAACGGGATACTATTGCTGGCAAGCGCAACAGTTAATGTTTTTTTTAACAACAATTGACAACATAGATATCAATGTTAACATGACAATATATATTAGCTCCATTGTACTCACTAATCACCCTACATAATATTATTAATAATTAGCAGCTTTCCGTAAGTTGCAAAAATTTACTACTTTAACAATGTATTATAAAGTAAAAAAAATAAATCGTGGCCAATGATTTGTTGCGAAAGCAACTGCAAAAAGACATTAAACTTTGGTGAACCAAATAATATTGATAAATGTGCCAAAAAGCTGATTATTTTTTTTAATTAATAGCGTTTATTGGAAAAAAATAAATTAAATAAGTTAAAACAACAAAAACAAGCATTACTAAAAACTACAAACAAAATTAAATTTTTCTGAGTACAGTAACATTTCTTCCTAAATAAACCAATTAGTAACATAAATACATCAAAATATGCCAACAATTTAAATATTTCGAAAATTAAACTTATTAATGTACATGTGTACAAAAATAGATAAGCAAATCTCAAAAAATAATTATAAAAACGGCAGTTATTCAATTATCATACACAATTTGCAATTGTAGTATTTATCGCCGTCAAATTCTATAAAATTACCAAAAAAGGAACATATTTAGTCAGAAAAAAAAATCATTCGCATTCAGTGGTAAAATTATACAGAATAGGTGAGAATAACTACACAGAAATCAATTCAGAACTGACCAAAAACGATTAAAAAAAAAAAACTATTCTACTAAGGGCACATCAAGAATTGTTGTCAAACTATTTTACCACCTCTAGGTAGTGTTGCTGTGTGTGTAGGAGATTCGGAACTATTGAAAACTCTGTTTAAATCTGAACTAAGATCTCGAGTAACACTTCTTCGCCATGGCGTACTCAATCCAGACCCACCGTCTGAACCATGTTCCCGATTAAAGGCACGTCCTAACGGTGAACGCCTGCTTAATAAATAAATAAATCTCATAATCTCAGTGTACATCGTTGGTTTATTTAGACATAAAATCAAATAACATTATATTACACACAATCACTTACTTCACTTACTTAATTTTTGCCGTTTTTTTCTCATGTGAACAGGAATATTGCATGCTTGTAAGTAGAATAAAACAAAAAATAAACCTACTTAACAGAACAATGTTTTACTCACAGTCAAGAGATAATTTAAGCAGGGGAGCAACAACCTAGAGTCCAACGGTCAACCTCTTCACGGGTGTCTACGAAAATGCCTCTTTTAGAGAAAATTGAGCTATGTATACGCTAAGACCGACAGTTTGGCCACATAACTCTGTACGAAGACGTATTTAAACAATAATCTCAAGCACATATTGGATACATTGGACATGCGTGAACTGGCTAAAGAATTCGTTAATAACTGTACAATAACAAAGGATGGAATATAAACTGCCAATAAATAATTGTAATACATTTCCAGAACTATTTACTGCACATGACAAGGTTTTTTTGCTAACAACCGAGTAGACGCCTCCAGCCCCCTTTAGAGATTGTTGCGCCCCTGAATTTAACTGACTGCAAAAATGAACATTAAAATTGACGTAATTACCTGGATAAGGCTTCAAATCTATTGGGAAAATTCAAAAAGTTTCTAGTAAGCAAACTACTTCTTGGAAAGCCAGGATGCGAATCTTCAACATTCAATCTTGACGTGAGATCTCGTACCTAAAAAATATATAAACGTTTCACTTTCATGCCGCGCAGTTTACTTAAATGACTTCGTTCAACTAACCCTAGAGAGCAAAGTTGAAAATAGATTTTCGGCGGTTAAAATTTCAAATCCATCATCGTCATCGTCTTCGCCAGAACTGAACGAGTCGTTGCGTTCAAGAGTTGCTCTTCTTGGCCTTGAACTCCTAACAATAAAAATTATTAACAAATTAGTGATTAATGTATCAGAAACAGAAATTAGTGGCGGTGTAACATAAATATAAATAAATTATTACAACAATACAATTAGTGTAATTGCTCATTACATGTATCGTAACTAATATAAACCATTCAATATTATTAGGAACAGGACATGTATGCACGTACCTCAAACTGTGCATTCTAAATAGATCTTTCTTTGAATCCTCGTCGCTATCTTTTCCGAACGAATTTCTGCGAGGTAT